AACAACATTAGCAAAACATTTTCTTTTCAATAAACTAAGAGAAACTAGCAGTATAGCTATTTTAACTGTCTTGTATATATACATATAAATACATATATTTCTTTAAGAAGTGGTTCTGGAACAACTGGCTTTCCACGTGCTGAAGAGTAAACCTAGACCCATGTCTATCATCATGTACCAAAGTCAAAAAAGGTCAAGGATATAAATATTAAAACAGAAGTCTTAAATCTACTGGAAGAGAATATAGGTAGAAATCTTTACAGGTAGAGATGTAGGCAGAGATTTTATTAACAAACCTAGACTACATGGGAAATACCACAAAAAATTAACAAATGGGATCTCACCTTACTAAAAAACTTTTGCACAATCAAAGAAATCACCAACAGAGTGAAACAATAACCCATAGAATGGGAAAAAATTAGGACTTATATCTAGAATATATAAACAATTGAAAAATATCAGCCTTCCCACATTCAAAGACCCAGTCCAAAAATGAGCATCTGAAGTGAATATACTTCTAAGATGAAGAAATACAAATGGAAAATAAATAGTAAAATATTAGGGTTTTTGGACTCATTTTTTGTGATGTTGGAATTCTCTTAAGACATAGTTCATTGTGTTTCACAAATTCTTCTATATTGTACTTGCATTATCATTTGGTTATAGTCTGTCTTATTTCTTGCTTGATTTCCATCATGGTTTAGTTAAAAAGTTTGTTTATTTGCCACTGATTTTCATCATTTCTGTGTTTTATTTTGTTATTGGTTTTTAACGCTATTGTGCTATGAGGTCATAATACACATTGCACAATTTCACTTCTGTTATGTTGACTTAAACCTGTTTATTGACTAGTATATCATTTGTTTTGCAGAAAGTTGTATGTGCAGGTGAAAAAATGCCATATTTGCATTTTTGTTGGCTTGCTGATATTATTTAATTTATTCTTTAATTTCCTCTGTGCCCCATTGATTATCTGAGAGTGCCTTATTTAGTTTCCATGTATTTATGAAATTTTTGTAATTTCTTTTGTCATTAATTTCCAGTTTCATGACACTATAGTCATATAATATGAACAGGGCAATTTTGATTCTCTTTCATTTACTTAAGCATGTTCAATGGGCTAGTATATAGTCTATTTTAGAGAATGTTTCTTGTGTAGCTAAGAAGAATATGTATTCTGATGTTGGATGCAACACTGTACATATCTACTAAGTCCATTTGTTCAGAAGTTTGTTTCAGTTCTGTTATTTTTTTGCTGATTTTTTGTCCAGTTGATCTGTCTCTTTGGGCATTGGAGTGTTATGATCCTGTGTTATGATTGTACGATTGCTTATTTGTTTTTCAGGTCTATTAGTATTTGTCTTAAGTAACTGGGTGCTCACATATTTGGTGCATATATGTTTATGATTGTTATCTTTTACTTTTGAAGTTTTCCTGTAACAAATATGTAGTGACATTTTTTTTATCTTTTTGATCATTCTTGGTTTGGAGTTCACACTGTCTGCAAGCAGAATCGTTACCCATGGTTTTTTCTGGGTTCCTGCTGCATGGAGTATTGCTTTCAATCTTTTGACTCTCAGTCTATGAATTTCCTTTTGAGTTAAATGTATTTGTTGTGTACAGCATATTGTTGGATTTTGTTTCATAGTTCACTCTGCCACTCTGTTTCTTTTGATTCATGAATTGAAACCATTGCCATTAATGATTATAACTGATATATATATATATATATATATATATATATATATATATGCTTATCTTTGTCATTTTATCTTTCTCTTGCTGGTTTTGTACTTTTAGCACTCTGTTTAATTGCTTGTTCTGCTTATTGTTTCTCTTGTTTGAAGTGTTGTCGTTTTTATCTTTTTCTAGAGAATCTTTCAGTACTCTTTGTAAGGTTGATTGGGTTGTCAAGAAGTTCTTTAGTTGTTCTTTTTCATGGAAGTATCTTATTTCAAAAGACTTTTTGCAGGGTTAATCAATCCAGGTTGGAAATTATTTTCTTTCAGTATTTGAAATGCTTCGCTCCAATCTCTTCTTGACTTGGTTTGTGTTGAGAAGTCTGACATGGCTCAGATAGGCTTTCTTTTACATATGATCTGTTTCTTTTATCTAGTAGCTTTTAATATTCTGTTCTTGTGCTGAATTTCTGGGATCTTGATTATTATATGTAAAGGTGTAGATTTATTTTGGTTATGGCTAATTGGAGTTCTATATGCCTCCATATGTGTATGTCTGGTCCTTTTCCCATGTTCAGGAATTTTTCTGCTATGATGTCTGTAAATAGTCTTCTATGTCATTTGTGTTCTCTCCTTTTTCATTGATATCTATCATCCATATATTGTTTCTTTTTGCATCATCTTTCAGCTGTTGAATTATTTCCTCATTCTTTGTTATTTTTAAGAGCTATTTTCTTCCACTAGTTTCAATCATATCTTTGAGGTCTGAGAGTTCAGTTTAATTCATACAGTTTTTCCAGTTTTCAATGGAATTTTTGATTTCCCAAATATCTCCTTGAGTATGCTTCATGTATTTCCTACATTGTTTCATTTAAGGATTCCATCACTTTCTTATGCTCCTCTAATTTTTTTTTATCTAAGTCTTCTTTGGATATGCTCACCAATTCTTTCATTATATTTATCATTTCTGTTTTTACCTGAGGGATTATTCCTGATCTAATTTCCTTTACAGCTTCCTGGAGTTGTTTCTTTACTTCCCTTTCTATCCTTTCAGAGATTTCAGGTGTGTGATTTGCAAATTCATCCGTATCTATGTCTCCTGGACCTGATCTGGATGGACTGAAAGTTTGAAATTGCATTTTGTTCTCTTGTTTTAGCATTATCTTGTACTCTTTTGAATAAGCCAGATGTCAAGTCATAGTTGCTTCCTGTTCTGGTGGGCTGTCTGGGAATAGGCCTCACTGAGGGTAAATGTTGGTTCTGTGTCACTGGACACAGATATTCTGTCCCTGGAGGCCTCACTGAGGGTCCCCAGATAATTTCAGGTTGCTATGGACAGGTTCCCAGTCTCTTTAGGTCTCAGACATGGTGCCCACATATGGATGGGCTGTTGGGCACAGACTCCCAATCCTAGCAGGCCTCCCCAAGGATTTCAGAAAACTGAGTCACTGGGCATGGGCTCCCAGTCCTTGCAGTCCCCAGAGATGGTTCCTAGGTGTGGATGGGTGACTGAGTACAGCTTTATAGTCTCTACAAGACTCATTGAGGGTTCCTAGGTGTGGGAAGGTCATTGGGTGGAGTTTGCAGTCATGGCAGGACTCACTGAGAGTTTCTGGATGACTATGGCTAACTAGGTGCAGACTTTTGGTCACTGTGGGCCTGAGAGATGGTTTCAGGTTGTGGGTGGCCCCTTGGGCACAGCTCTCCAGTGCCCAAGAACCTCACCGAGATTTTATGGATGATTGTGGGGCACTAAGTTCAGACTGCCAGTCCCTGTGGGCTTCAGAGATGGTGTCTGAGTCTGGGCTGGCCACTGGGTGCAACATCCCAGTCCCCAAGAACTTCACTAAGCACTCCTAGATGACTCTAAATAGTCATTTCTGATTTGGCTATTTGAGGTTGTGTATTCCTCAATAATTTGCAAGTTATTTTCTTTTATCTTAGAAAGTTTCCTGCTAATCTTTGAGTAAACATTTGTGCTATGCTCCCATTTTCACTAAAGAAAATTAACCTTTCATTTTGCAAAATCTATGAGCTATTGCATCCATGCAATTGAATCCATTTTACATTCTCATTTTGGTTGCCAAAAATTTCTCATAATTGGAATCTGTAATTTCCCTTACATTTTAAAATACTATTACATATTTCAATAAATGCTTGTCTATATCCAGAAGGAAGAATAGGAAGTTTTCAGACTGAGTAGTCTTTCTTATCACCTACAGCTAGCATTACTGACATTATAAAATTTAGGGTAATGAAATTCTCAGACACAAATGACATATAATATATTACAAAAATTAATGTTCTGTGAAAAATTCTGAAAATGCCTTGTGTACAACCTGTGTTGCTTCTAGTATTCTAACATAATACTTTTAATGATTCTATTTCATCTTGTTAAAATGGAAATAATACCAAAATCGAGAGTAGAATATTATAATTAAGTATATAGGAATAATTGAAATTATTTTCCAATATGTGGTTAATAAAAAGAATTAAATACTTGAATTTATACTAAACTTGTTATGTAGTCATATATAATGTATGTATTATCTATAAGGAATCTCTATATTATTCATTCATGTTTATAGATTTTTTTAAAAGAAGAGATAATTCCATAAACTGTGCTACTTGCTAGCTATGATTTCCTGTAACCAGTAAATTAACTACTGGTACCAGTAAATTAACACTACAGTGAATTAACTACCAGTAAATTAACACTACAATAACTGACATTCTAAATTTTGTGCAGGATTTTCCAATACCACATGTACAAAACTAATGGAATAGTTATTTCATAAAAGGTAAGTTATATGTTATCATGCATTATCCATTGTGCACATGATATTATATTAGTCAGTAAAGTCATGAACATGGTTATCAAGGATATATGCTCTAATTATTCTATTTGATTTGAATACATTTTCTGAAGATTCCCTATAGATAAATTAACACTATAAAAATGCATATAAACTGATAAATATCAAGATTTTCATGCATGTTGTATCTGAGCATTTTCTGTTCAGTATTTTCCTCCTGCTCGTTTTGGCCTTGATCTTTCCCTACAATATCAGTGCTCTACACTCATAACATACAACCTGTTCTCTATAATTTAACTACTAAAAGCACTAGTTCATATGAACATCACTGGAGCAGAACCCTATATTTCTTCAAAGATTTATTCCTTATTTACTTATAGCCCAAATACATTAAAGTAAATAGGATCAAAGGAAAAAAGCTACATGTATATCTCTGTGATTCAAGGAACCCTCCAAGTATTTGGCTATCTGAAAGGAAATTATCCATCACTGAATACTTGACCACTCATTGTCTTTTACACCTGAATGGTAAACACTCAATCATTCGTTTTTCAGTGCTCATTAGAACAAAAGGACAGACAGTTGCATAGCCATTGCCCACAAGCATGTGAACACAAAGATTAACTGGGTTACGGTTCCACAATATTGAACGGGAGAAGAAAGTAGCACAGTCCAAGAAATACATAAGCATAAAGAAAACCGTGAGCAACAGAATGGTCTGGGTGGCTCTTTCTTCTGGGGATGTCTTAGGGGAAAGTCTAGTGCTGTGAAGATGTTGGAACTGTCTTTTATGCCTGCACAACAGGCTCACCATATATCCACTTGAAAGAGCCATCAGTCCTATAAAGGAGATATCCAGAATGTTAACCAATGATAAAAATATGTATCTGAATAAGTAATTAATAGGCCACAGAGAACAGGATTCAGTGACAAATATGAGACTGTGTGAGGTCACATTGGGGGTGACACCAATGGAGACTAAGAAACGACCATTCAGGAGCATATTGAAGACCCATAAACCCACAAGGCAACATGGATAGTGATGTGTGGATATATGTTTGAATTTTGCCAAACAAGAATTTCTAGGGCTTAGAGTGATGGCCTGGAGGACACTCAGCAGGCAGGTGGTACAGATGGAGAGGGCTCTCATCAACCTGTGCACATAGATAATCACTTTACATGTGAGGCCATCTTCCCAACCCTGAAATCCTAAAGTGTCTGTAGTTATGAAGTTCATGGTCATCAGCATCACCAGGTGGATCAGCGCCAACTGAGCAATAGTCAGGTCAAGGGGTTTAGGCCTGTTCTGGAGAAGAAATGTGAGGATGTGGAACAGAAGGAGGACAGTGTTGGCTATGATTCCAATGGTGATTTCAAAGAAAATGGTGATTCTTACATCAAAAAACCTGAAAAATGTTCTCTTTTTCTTCACCATCATAGTGAAATAAAGGCAATAAAAGTCTGAGGGAAAAAATTAAGAAAAATTATTTATCACAGATATCATGACCATTATCATCTTTGCCAACATTATGCCTTCATCAGATCATTGGATTACTCCCCATTCACCCTTTCTACTTAAGAGCTCATGTTTCCTGAGACAGATGAATTATGTGTGTCAATTTAGGGGCCTCACAGCACCTCTGAAAAAACTTACACAGTTGATGGGAGATGTTTCCATGTCTCTGTCTGTTTTTAGTTTCCTTCACTAGGCACAATGTTTATTTGCTTTGTATCTAGAGAAAGAAAATGTGCCAACTACATAGTAAAAGGTGTACTTCTTGGTGATAGATTGGAAGGATTTGCCTACATCAGAAACTAAGATCCTCTCTAACAGGTTATGGGATAGACATACACAGTAATGTTACATCAAAGATATCTTTATTTTAGTTTATTCCTGGACAAAATAATCATAAAGAAAAAGTGTTTCTCAGTATGGTCTGAAGTCAAATGGATTTGATTGAAATGATCTGACTCTTATCAAATCCAGATTTGGAGAGTAAGTTTACATATCTTAGTCACAATCATAAGACAAACATATTTATTTTGTGGAGATGTGATGTGTGCGAATGTACCAATCTTGAAGAGAGCCTGGCAGAAGAATAAAATTTCAGGTACTGTTATCATTATTACATAGCTCCTCATGCAGAAAGCTTGAGAGAATTAATATACTTTAAAATTTTTATACCTCTGCCTCAGTCTGAAAGAGTAAGGAGAAATGAATATCAAAACAGTAGACACTTAACAATACCTATTTATGACACCCATAAAATTAAAATGATTTTCAATCTTCCAAGATTACAATTTATATATTCTAGAGGCAAACATAGACCAGTAATGACACTGAAGTTATTTTTTATTGTTAGGACCATGAATTCTAAATTTCTTTTCACTACATCATAATGATACAGAAAGATAATATTTAATGTGCCCATACTTTAAATAAATCCTGAAGCAGCTTTCTTCTGGTTTTAATTAGATGGGAGGCAAACATTTTTACCTTGAATATGACGCACAGTGGGTTCATACTTTTGTGCCTTGCTTAAGCAAGAAAAGACACCTCCGTCAAGTTTTTGGGACTCAAGTGTAGATTTTTTTTCCTGCAGAATTTGGTGGCCATAAACTTCTGTGGCTATCTCCCAGGGTGATGCAGGTGTTTGCTTTACATCAGCCTTCATAAAGCTATGGTGTTAAGATCTTAACGTGCTTACTTGGGTATAGACACATAATGTCACGGGCTTATCCTTTCACTATCAGAGATTAAAATGACATTCATAGCTTCATAGAGCATGTGCTTTGTAAGTGACTGAGAGAAACCTGAGCTGTTGAGACACAATGAATGTGTGGTCATAATATGAAAATTACAAGTAAAGAGGTATATGACCCAAATCCTATAGAAATATTCATTTTTAAAATAAAAACATCACAGAAAAACTAGAAAAGTTTTATCTTTCATAAAGTATTGATAAATGAAAATAACACAATTTTCTCCATTCACACAGTCAACAAATTAATCTTTGGTCCTGTCATTCGCAAAGAGGGAACATGGAAAATACGTGTCTGACTATCAGATGCCTCTGACTCTTGCTGATTTCTGAGTCCTGCATGTTCGGCTTTGTCTTTATGTTTTCATGACCGAAACACTTATTGGCTGTATATTTACTCAATCAAATTATCAAATCTATACTTATAAGATACTAAAGACATCATTTTGTATTGGTACATAACAATATCTAAGTACTATTGTGGGGACTGAGTATATAGCTCAGCAGCACAGCACGTCCTCTAGTGCTAAGACCTAAGTTGATTCTGGGAATCAAAATGAAAAAAAGTTTAATAAATTTCATGAAAAAATAACATATAAATCATAAACTTGTTTTTCTGCATTTTTTTTGCAAAACTCATGTTTTGATTTAATTTTGGTTTCATGAATTGAATTGAGCAAACAATCTTATAAAATGGGTCAAATGCCATGTGTGAATCTTTCATAAATTGAGGGACAGAACTACATTATTTAAGAATTCATCATTGTTTAGGAATGTATAGTTCTGAAGCAGGAGGTAGGAAATGTGTGCAGACTCTAACTTTGCTCACCATTCAGGATATCAGGAGGTGGCTGGCTTCATATCAGAAACTGGCAAAATGTTCTGGAGCACATCATTCTTCTTTCTGCACACCATTAATACAGGAGAGTGTTGCACTCAAGAGCACCCAATTATGTTATAAGTTCCCGTGGAGGACCACACACACGGCAGAGAAAAGGCCAACCATCCAGATGTCTCCAAAATTTTCAGATCATGCCACTGTATTCGCAGGCACACTCCAAATGGCTTTGTCCTGTGTTTTTCTGTAGGTATAAAGCAGAAAGACATAAAACTACTTTTCTGTACTAATCTTTTACCAGAGAATGCATTCTTGAGACTGTGTACACATGAAAACAGGCTAAGGCAAATGATGTAGCAGTGTCCCCTCAAAGCCAGGCCTCATTCACCTTACTCCTGCCAGGCTCATCACAGTTTAGGAGAGCAGAGGACATGACAGCAGTTCCTTCGATCCACACGATGTTGTAAGAGACCCCCCCACCACCCCGATGTGGTTCTTAGGAGTGATAGTGCTGAATCAGGACCTGACTCATCCAAAATTTAAAATGCAAATTTCTCATTTTTCAAACGACACAAAACCAGCTGCCATCAGAGAGACAATTTATTGAAAACAACGACAACAACAAAAACAATAACAAAAATGAAGAAAGCACAGAGAAAATAACCTGGAAGGAAGTTCAGAAAAAAGTCACACATTAAGGGCCACACTGGGAAAAAAGCAAAGAAAGGCCAGATAGACAGCTCTGAAGTGGTGTCAGCAGTCACCATTTGGAGCTCTGATAACCCAGTATGGCTGAAAATGCCCCTTGAGTAATGTAACACAGTTGAGAGACTGACCAATGCCCTAACTGAGGAAGGAGTCACTTTAGACACTCTGACAGCTAGCATTCAATAACACCCAGTTCAATCTTGTGACACATTATACACTGAGATATTTCTCAAGCAAGCACAGAGGTTTGTGTCAATGCATGCGAGCCAGAGATGAGATGAGGCCATGAGCCCTGTGGGGAAAAGGGGTCAGGGATTCTCACCTGATGTATGCACTTATGGTCTTGCTGGCAAAACAATTATAGGGTGAAGAAACTGGCTATGTATTCTATTTTTCCCTAGACAGAACAAATGTAATCTGTATATCACACAGTGTAAGACTGTCTTATAGGAGCATTCAAGCACAGAACTCAGTCATGTGTCTTATGTGCATACAAGATCAGATCTTGGTTGTTATTCCAGTACCTTACAGGTCAACTTTACCATGATGGACATCAGTACTGTCCTTGTCTATAATTTGAATTAAAAAAGAAAAGAAGACTTTTGAAGTAAAACTGAAAATGAGCAAAAGACTGGTTTAGGTTCATGAGAATACTGGTCTACATGCCCCAAAACCTTTCAGCTGGAAAACTACAAAGAGAAAGACACAGCCAGGAAGGCAAAATCATCACCAGCTAGGTAGATGGTCCAAACTCACTGCACAGCATTTGTGAAATGCACAGCACCAGAAGTATGAAGAATAAAATTTGAACATGTGGATGTCATCTGTTTACAAATTTTTTTAGTTTGTGGGAAACATTATGTATTTTGTCAATTTAAAGGCCACTAAAGTAGACATCTTAATGATCATTCTTCTATATGTATTACAGTATTTATGTATCTGTATCCATTTTCAGTAATAGCAAGGAAAAGTAATTATTGCTTCAAAGAAAAGAAACAATACTTCCAGAGGCAGCTTGTCACAAAAGTGTTGCTCTCAGCCCTCACAAACACCCAAGATCTTTATGACAATCTCCAATCAACCTCATAGTGCAAGAAAGTCTTTCATTCATGGAAAATAACTTTCAGTTTTGTCTTCATATTTTTGAAGTAAGCATGTACTAAGAAAATATAATATTTTGCTTTACTCTGTTGAGAAAATTATTTAAACAATCAGTGGAGGGTGGATGTCGCACTACAGGCATAGAGATCAGGCCAGACAAAAATCTTTGGTTCTACACTTCAGCTTTATTGAATGGGGTTCTGGGTATCCATTATATGAATGAAGGCATAAGAAATATTTTTAGTTTGAAAAAAACTGGAGAAAATAGTAAGAGACATACTCCTTCCTCTCAATGCACACTGGTGGATTGTATCCAAAGACCTTTATTACAGCTCAGCAAAAACCTCCTTACCCTTACCCTGTTTTAATTTTTGCTGATGCCATCAAAATGAATTCTGTGAAATCAACAGTAGGCCAACCAGGCTTTTGTAAGAAGATGCTCACACATTTTTAAAATGGGAATTGGGTTAATATCTCTTTCAGAGCTACTGCTTTTAAAAAATATAACCTCATTTCATACTAAATGATTTAAATGAAAATTAACTAGAATATATTATGCAGATCACTTTTCAATCAAAATCTTTAAAGAATTTTTAGGGCTGAAAAAAAGACAAACATTCTGTGTACTGAAAACTGACAGTAAAAGTGTATCTATTCTTGAGAGGTATAAATAGAAATATAAAGCTTTAGGCTACAATGATAATATCTTCTCAGAGAAACAATATTGGAAATAAATGTACACCATTCACATTTCAGAGACATAAACATATGCCAGAGGCTAATTTGGTATTTCTTATCAAAAACAGTACTAATATTCTGAGTCATGAAATTGAAAGCTGGAGTCCGAAAATCTCAGTTATCAAACCTATCCATGTAGCCCACTGTCTCATTTCCATAGTCTGGCTAGGAACCTGCCCTCCAGAGACCCGTGTCTGTGACCAGGAGAGAGGCACTTACCCAGGGTATATGTGGTGATGTGGTGATCCTGAGAAAACTCTGCGTGACCTTAATATAAGGATGTCATTA